CCTCCACTGCTGCTACACGCTGCGAACCAACCAACCTCGACCTGCACCGGGGGCCTCTGACCCGACGCCTGAGGTGGGCTGCCACTTATTTCTGGTGCGCCTGATACGCGGTGCTGCTTCACGAGCTCTGTCTGCTGTCCTCTGTCCTCCGTCAGTGGCCTGGGGTGATGTGGTGTGTCTGTCTACCTTAGGTAGGTGCTGCTCAAAGTGATGTGATGATGTCTTCAGAAGGAATGGTACTGCGTAGTAAACGATGGATGAGTGAGAGCTGCACTGCAAAAAAAAAAAAAAAAAAAAAAAAAAAAAGACAGCATTTCCCTCTCTGCACCCCTCAAACGTTGCATGCGCCACCCCTCCCCTTCGTTATCTCAGCCATGGATGGAATTCAAACCAGTCAATCGCATCTTGGCTAGGTACGCTGCTGCAGCATCCACACCGGGAAGACCCTGTGGTGTTCTGTGGTTTCTTCCTGCGCAAAAAGGGTCAAGTGTGCCGGCTGGGCCATAATTGTGTCACTCCCGTGTCCCCCTTTCATAAGAAATCTGGCATTCACTCTACCTTCTCTGCTGCAGTAGGTACAGATTTCTACCTGTTAACTCTTTCCTGTATCCGTAAAGGTCAGGTCAGCTAAGGACCCCTCTCCCGCTCTCCCGCCATCTCCCCCATGTTCATGCTGCTCCTCCTGATGCTCTTGTCTGCCTCCTCCTGTCTATCCTTGCCCATCCGACGTCCCAGGCCCGGTTCCAGTCCCAGTCCCAGTCCCGGGCCAGAGCCCCAGTCCCAGTCCTAAAATCTAGGGCCCTGGTCATCCCAGCTGCCCTGGTCCCTCATACACATCCTCGTCCATCGTGTCGCAGCCTCTCGATACCTTACACTCACTTGTCACTGAATTGTCACCGCGTCCGTCCCTTCTACCTTACCACACACACACACACCACACACCTATCCTTCCCCCCCGGTCCCCTTCCCCCCCCCTTCCATCACCTTTAAACACCCCCCTCCCCTCATCCTCCTCATTCTTGTAACCCTCGTCTCGTCCAGCGCTTCCTTTCAACCTTCTTAACCCTTCTCTTCTCTCCTACCCCCCTTCCTGGCATCTCCCAAAACCTCTCGCGCCTGACCTTTTCTTACCCCGACGTCGCAGACGAAGTCTCTCGCTTTTTCCAAATAAAACAACTTCTCCTTTCACTGAAATTTGTCCCTGGCGACTCGAACGGAAAAGAAAGTCCAGAAAAGAATACAGTCAACCGTTTCTCTTACGCGCGACCTAATTAATACGGATTATACCACATACCCCCGACCGACCGACTCAGTTGGATCGTCCCTAACGCACCCCAAAAAAACCCAGCAAGCGCCTCTCTGACAGAGCACCAAAAACAACGAGAAGGAATTGAGCCTGAAGCGCGCTCCCTTGCTCTTGACACCACCTGACACAAGCCGACTCTCTCGACCGTACTGTGTTTGTCAATCAGTCAATTCATGCCGACCACCTGCTCCAGGCACTCGTAATTTTGGCATCCATCGGCACTGTACATACCAGTCCCGAACCTTCTACTACGCAGCAGCAGCAGCTTTTTATTCTTTGCTGCTGTCTTTTCTTCTAAATTGCTCGGCTTGTTCCAAGAGCGATATCAGCAGACCAACCACGCGCCCGCGCTTCGACAATTTACGGCGACCAGCAGCGACACCACCACCGTCGCCAGTGCACCCACTTTTGCACCCTAAATTCATCCCAGCCCGCTCTCGGCCACTTTTGTCAAGCCTCAAAGCGCAGCCTTTCGGCCTTTGAGCTTTGGTGCCATCGCAGCGACCAATCCGCGCTGAGAGAGAAAAAAGAAAAGGGGACAAAGGCCTTCCTCTTATTCCCTCCCACCCCGATTCCGATTCAAAGGCCCAGCCGACCAAGCATCGCCAGACCGAGTCCTTCTTGTCCTTGGCACCAACCCTCGGCCTCCTAAACAGTCGCGCATCCCAGCACACCAGACTCGTCACCGCGACGATTTCTGAACCCCGACCCATTAAAACTGGACCGGCGAGCAAGGGAGAATCGCGCATCTCAATCGCTCGACCTTTGACGACATTGCCAATTAGAAACCACTGCGTACACGATCGCGGCCTCTCGCAATCACCCAAAATACGAGAAGCAACTCAAAGCTTCCTCGGGCATCCATTCCCCGGAGCGAGGCATCTACTGCACTCTCTACGGCAAACGGTGACACGGGTGCTACAGCAGCATCCCGCATCGAACGGATTCTTCCCCCCATTTCCTACCATCCAACTTCACACCCCGCAGCAACTATGAGCACAGCAGTTGCAATGGCTCCCTCTCCGGCCCCTCACGACAGACCGTCGTTCCCTTCAGATCTCGCTCCTGCGCCCTCTGCCCAGCATGGAGCTTCTTCGCCCGCCGCTCAAAGGACTCTCGCCCCTCAGGGCACTCCGAACGCTGCCGCGCATCGCTCAGGTAGCGGCAGCCCCAGGGGCGCCGCCCAGGCTCCCAAGTCTTCTCCTCCCAGCGCGTGAGTAATCTCTCTTCACGCGAGTCGTCGAAACCAGCTAACGGGATTCCTTCACAGCTCTCGAGGTGGCGGCCCGCCGAAGATCGTCGTTAAGAAGGAACCCAACTCCCCGGACCTGCCGAACACTCGACACAGGCCCCGTAAGTTGGATCTCTCCAACAAGGGCGCGCACCCGGGCTCCAACACCCCTCAAACGGCGAGGCCCATGACCGCTCGGGACAACCTGGGCATCCAAGAGGTCGGCTTGGCCTGCCTCTCGCCCGGTTTCGTTACTCAGGACCCGATTATGAAGGAGCAGCTCCAGCGAAGTATGAGCGTGAGAGACCAGCAGCGCATGATCATTGAGCAAAGGATGCAGCAGTCGGCCAAGGGCGACGGCCCCGATACCGCTGGCAAGGACCCCGTGTCGCAATTCGCCGCCAAGACCCCGGGATTGTCCCGCAGGAACAAGGCACAACTTTCCATCCTGCCGCCCTCTGCCGAGTCGTTCGCCAACGAGCGCGTCATTCAGTCTGCGCCCTTGGGACACTCCTTCACCGGACGCCAGCACCCGGCTCCTCTGACTCGCCACATTGCGAACCAGCCCAACACCCTTTCCAACACCTCCCACATTCACCACGTCCCCGCGAACCAGACGCAAAACCGTCTGCCTCCCATCAGCGACGTCTTCGGACAGGTTTCCGGCCACCCCGAGAACGCTCCCAACTCCCTGTACCCGCAGCAGAGCGCGCGCCCCATGGCTTCGCCCGGGCACCCGCCCCAGCAGATGCAGCACCCCCCGGCTTCTGGTCGCCCGAGAGAGTATAAGTCCGCCGAGGAGGCGCAACACGACATTGCCGGAGGCCGCCCCGAGCTGCTGCCCAAGATTGTGCACTACGGCGGTGCTCACCAGCCCCCTACTCCTCCGTCCCCTGCCCCTGGCAGCAGAGCCGCAGACCCCAGCCGCAGCGCCAGCCGTCGCCGCACTCGCGCTGAGTACGAGGATGGCAGCCCCCCTCTGGGCCACGGCCCCGCCGCTCAGAGGAGAGGCCCCTTCGGTGCCGGCCGCGACAGCCCAGAGACCCAGAAGCAGAAGCGGGAGGAGTTCCTGCGGATATGCGAGAGGGCCTGGGATCTGTTCCACTCCTAAAGGCTTTTGTTTGAACGTTCGATTCTCTTCAGCCAAGGAGTGGGCAGCCTGACGCGCATGCTCCTTGGCCACTATTTACCAGCGGGACCCGGCCCCGCGCCTTCGTCGACTCGATTTCGACAACGTTGCATTGGTTCGGAGCAGTCTTTTTCACGTTGGTTGTTGCTATTCGCTGCTCGCCTTACACCAGGATCAGAGGAAAAAAATACCGGCCGGCGGGGGATTTGGGTCAGGGATATAATGTCTGTGTAACTACTCGAGAGACCATCGCGGCACACGTCTCTCCAACAACAAAACGAACGAAACCGATCATAACGACTTCCAGTTCCTCGCCTGAGGAAGCGATGGACGATTTTTGCTGCACGCGGCTGGCGGGCACAGGTGGGGGTGGGGTTGGTTGGTTGGCGCTTACCGGCTCAGGGATGATTCCATTCTACAGGGGAAGGTTTACGTCTTGGAGAGGGTTCGATTCTCGCACTGATATTCAAAGAGGCGCGCCTTGAGGCGTTTATTTGCTTTGTCCATGTTTTCTTCTGGGTGTTTCTATTTTACGGGAAAATGACCGGGCTGGCACGAGATTCACGAACAGAGAGAGAGAAGCCGTCTCTGTATGTATTATCTTGGGGTCGTCTGAGAGGAGGAGGAAGAAGGCGGGCCGATTGTGTCGGTGTGTCTGTTTCGTTTTGCGGCCCGCCAACCTCGGCGTTTCTACCGGCTTAGGCAATGTATATCGGAGCAATGGTAGTGAAGAATTGGCACGCATATACAGAGCCTTTGGGCTTACCATTCAGTTTATGTTTTCGATCTGTTGCACACAGTGAGATCTACGTCTTGACGTGAAATTGTGAGTGAGAAGACACAGCGACGAGGACTGTTGTCTGATGTTGCCCGACATTGCCCACATTCATGCATCTGATGCGCACGGACGCAAATAACTCACAGTGATACCCTAGGCCTTGAGGCTTCAGGCAGCAGCTGTCGTGATGTTCCCACCATTCCCAGTAAGCAATAGGATCGGATGCCCAGCGAGGGTGCCATCACATCTGTTACGCCCACCATCCGGTATCAACTAGAGTGTATCAACGCGTGATCGTACGTGGGAGGAGCATGCAACATATCATCATCGTTGGGGGTGGCTTCGTCGGGCGAGGTGGGGGGCCGTCTTGGGGGCCAGCTCAGAACGACCTGTGCCGACTTCATCGGATATTGAACATGAGAACAGACACGTCTTCCGATATGCTAGCCAAGGGCGTTGCGCAGGTGCCTTGATCCCATCAGGTGGGAGTATGCCCAAGTCGCCGACGACGATAATACGGTCACTTGTTCAGGGCGGCGGCATACTTACCTTTCGACTACAATGACAAGCAGTTCGAGACTACATCAAGGCAAGACACAATGCAAGCCGGACAGCTCAGAGCAGGGAGGCCAAGGCGGCGGCAGTTCACCACCAGCGGCAACGACCCACCGGGCCTCCGTACCGGCATAACCAAGCGGGGCCGAAAGACCGGGGACCAGGCCGGCTCGGCACCATGCACGCGGGCCCCTCCCCGCACACATTTCTTTTTTCCCCTTCGGCCCGCACCGGGGGAATATGCAAAAGCAAGCCCCCATGATGCCTTATCCCTGCGGCCATGCGGCACCGCAGACTGCGGCGGCCGGGGGAGCAGGACCCCGCCTCCGCCCCGATGTTGTATGTATGTCTCGGACCCCGCGGGGGCTGTCCCCCTCCCTTTGTTCTGGTTCTGTACTAGAACGTATTTCAGACAGGCAGGCGGAGGCCTCAGGTCTCCGTCCCCGACGCCCCGGCCCCGGATGCGGTTGCGGGGGGTGCGGGCGGCTTTTGGTGTGTTTGTCCTCCCCTTCCCCTTGCCTTTGTCGTCTCTTCTGTGTGGCTGTGTGTGGGTTGGTGGGGGAGGAGGGCATGTTTCCATTCTTCAGGACGCACGCTGGCTGGGCTGGGCCGATTGGCTTGCGTTTCTGTTTTGGTCTGGTCACTCGACATGTTTTGGCGCATCTTTTTAGACTTTCTTTCACTGTTGGATCGCATCCCCAAAGACATTTAGGCTTTTGCAGCACTAAAGTCGAGCAGAGAGAGAGAGCCACGACAGCAAAGGAAGGGCAAGCTTTCGTGACCTTTGGGATAAGTAGGAGGGGGTAGGCTGCGCCATGTTGGGCATTCGACAAGTAGCGTTTGTTCTTCCCCCTCTACTGCAATGCAAGGAATCAGAGACAAGACGTGCATCTGGAACGGCCACCGTCGATGACGCTGGCCGAGATCGACCCAAGCGTGATGTGCTAGAGATTTAGTGCCGCGTACCGCGTTGCCGCGCCGTCTACCAGGCTGCCGGATCTCGTGTAGTCAGTCCCCCCCCCTCCCTGGGATTGGAAGGATCTCTTCGGTGAGCTGGCGACGACCGACGAGAGGCGGTGTGAATTCTGCGCATTTCTGGTGGGTGTGCAGTGCAGTGCTGTGCTGTACTGGCCGACACCAAAATCGCGCCTCATGGCGGTCACCACCATCGTGGCTGCGGGGAGAAACAGAGAATAACTCACCTACTCGGATCCAGACCGCCGCCACCATTCGAACAAGGCACACGCACCCAAGTCCTCGTGGCCAGCTGCCTGTGTGCGTGTGTGCATATGTCTAGGACAATGTTGGGGCATGAAGAAAAACCCTCAGTCAGGCGATGCCAAGCCTAGCAAATGCCACACACAACTTCGTCTTCGCCAGACGTGCCAAGCGGAGGGCACTGTTCTCTCGTGGCGGGAAGCTGCTGCGCCTTTCTTGTCTTGTGTGAACTGAACACTCTCCCTCAGACAATTCCAGACGGGCTCTGGCCAGAGAGTTCAAAACATGGACAGCCAAGACGGCGCCGCCTCAAGTGAACAAAGAAGGAGGTCACTGAGCCCGTTTGCCAAGCCGAGGCGGTGACTCTACCAAACCGGAAGCCTCGGTGCGGCCAGACAACGGACGGAGCTCGCGCGGGTCCCGCATTGCACTTCTGACTCCCGAGCAAAGTCTTGACTTGCCTCCCGGACGACGCGTCGGGTGCCCGGAGAGGGCAGAAATGTCAAACCTTGCTTCCTGTGGACGTATTGTGTATCCTCCACACCCGTGGAATCGTCATCTGTCAGATGCCAGGGCGGAAAATAAAGCAAAAAGGTTTCGCTGCGCCATGCCTCCAGGACGAAGAGGTGGGCGCGCGTAGAGAACCTTTCTGCCCCGGCGCTCGGCTCAGTTAGGAGCCCGTACGTGAGCAAATGACGATACTTGCCTCTGTATGCCTGCGAGGAGCAACCTGCGCTGTTACCGCCCCTGAGCTTGTGCTGTGACCAGAGGTACTTGCCTGCCATACCGCAAAGACCGTAGCAAATTTGATGGCAAAGAGTTGGGTGAGCACACACACCGAGCAGTCACAGAATGATCACCCACATGCCGCGCCCCTCTTTGCTTGTTCATTAAATTTTTGTTCTTTGGGTCTTTTGGCTCAGAATACAACCACTCACTACAGAAGTAAAGCGAGTGGATTAGGTCAAGGGGAGACCGCAAGGTCATATCCAGAGAGTCGCCTGCCGCGCGCGAGCCCAGCGACAGCTCACTCATAGCATGCAGTCTCCCCAAAGTGCCCGAGGAAAGACGCAGAAGCCGCTGCGTCCGTCCTGCCCAGTCCATTCCATCCCATCCATCCCTGGCCCTCCGGCTTGCCCCATCCACGAAGCCCGCCGGTTCCCACCTTCAGTGCGTCTCAAATCCCGTCGCTCATTATGGCTTCATTCCGTAGGGGTTGGGGACTGCTAGGCCCAGTCGACCCGAGAAGAGTGTAGACCCGGCTCTGTAGCATAGCTCTGCGATTGCCCGTTCCGATGACGGGTGTGGGTGTCATATGTACGTTTGAACAGAAGGTTGTGTCGTAAGCAGGATGAGGAAAACGCCAAACGCCGATGCTCGCGATAACGAGGTCGCATGGGGTGTCGTAAATCGTCAGGTAAACAAGTGTAATGGGTGAATCGAAGCAGGCTGATAGATAATTCAAAGGGCCGCCGGTCGTGCATCCTGTTCGTGCGGATGCATCCTCTATCGTGGGACCAGTTTGGTCTTCCGGTCGTTTCCGTTTTTCCGCCGCGTTGTTGAAAGGCTCCAAACATTGAAGTACTTAATCGAATAGTGTAGATCAGAGACCTTCCTCACCAGCCTTGCACAGCTTGATCTCGCGGCCCCATTCGGACTTGAGGACCTGTGAGGCCGTGATGCGGCGGGTCGGATTGGGATCCAGGATGGAGTAGATCACATTCCTGCAGCGCGCCTGGAGAAACATTAGATGGGAACAAAAAATCGAAAGGGGAATAAAACTCACTCTATGCAAAGACTCAATGGGACCGTACCCCTCCTCATCACGACGACCCTCCAAGTATCTAGCATAGAACTCATCCTCGTCCTTACGAGCGACGCGCCAGAGGTGGCGGCCGGTACGCATCGCCATGTAAATGACACCGCAGGCCCAGACGTCGACGGCGCGGGCATCGAATTCCTTGTCGGTGTACTCTTCGGGGGCAATGTAGGGGGCGGAGCCACAGAGACCAGAGACCATGTGGGGATCTGTCTCCCAGGCCATGCGGAAGCATTCTCCATTGCCAAAGTCCGTGATCTTGAGGCCGCCACGGGTGGTGAGCAGCAGGTTCTCGGGCTTGAGATCGCGGTGGGCGACACCCATCTCGTGCAGGTATTCGACGCCACGCATCATCTGCTTGAAATAGCAGTCCGCTTCTTGCACCTCCAGCTTGCCGGCCGAGAGGACAAGGGTGTACAGGTCACCGCCCGCACAGAACTCCATTACCTCGCAGTAGTCTCCCTTGGCGTCCTTGAGCAGGTCGAGGGTGTGGATGACGTTGGGGTGTCGGAGCGACGAGGAAATGCAGAATTCAGCAGTCAGCCTCTTGCTGTACTTCTTTTCTGTCTCCTCGGGCCGGCGACGGAACTCTTTGACGGCGAACAACTTTTCTGTGCCGTTCTCAATCTTCTTGTGGGATATCCTAACGATTCCAAAGGCACCACGGCCTACAACCTCCTGGCACTTTCCGTACTTCTCCACCAGCGTCGTCGTCGCATTCGGACCGTTCTTCTTATCACCAGCCATGTCTTCCTTCTCCGCCTTGAGGGTATCTACCCAGTTGGAAACAAGAGAGAGGTCATTCTCCGCAGGTTGGTCCTGCTTCTTGCCGATGAGGGTGCGCCACATGTCGGAGAGCTTCTCTTGCCTGCGACTTGACTTGAGGTGGTGCTCGTGGCCACCCTGCGCTTCTGGGTTGACCATGAATCGGTGGAGATCTTTGGCGGGCGTTTTGACGGGTTTGGAAGCGGGCTTTTCGGGAACTCTTTCTGCGGTGGTTGTTGATGCTTTCCTGCTGGGGGGTTGGGGTTTTGTGCTCTCAGTAAAGCTGGAACCGCGCGGACGATGAGGGACCTCAATAGCGTTTCTGGTGACGTCTTTCGTAGAGAACATGCGCGTAAGTTTGTCTTTCATGGAGGATTTTTCGGCAGGTTTCGGCAGGGCCTCGTGGGACGAATTGCCGTTGGTAATGGGCTGGCCATTCTGCGGGGTCAAACGCGGCGATTTTTTGCCGTCCGACTTAACGGACGAAGGTTTGGAGCTGGCCGCCGAAGCGGTTGTTGGGCTCGCCATTGCTGGAGAGGCTGAGGGCATGAGCGGCACGCGCAACAGCAGCAGGGGTGTGGTTGAAGGTTGGCGAGCGAGGTTCGAGGTGGGCGCGAAGGGAGGACGAAGCCGGTATATACGCGAACGCAACCGACTGGTCGTTTTTCGCCTCTCTTTCTTTTTTTTCTCTTGTCTCTTTTTTGGTTCCGGCTATCGGTGACGGACGGTTGGTGTCAGCCGCGGGTAGGTGCAGCAGCAGAAACCGCGGGTCGCAGGTCTGCGCGGTGTTGCAGAGGGCAGCGTTGGCGGGTTATGCGGGCGGGTGAAGACTGGCTGGCGGGGGGTGGAGGGGACAACAGTCTTTCTGACTTGCGACTCGAGTCGACTCGGGAGGGCCGTCGAGACTCGAGGCTCAGGTCTGACAAGGGCACGCTGTGGCGTCAAGAACGCCTCGGCGCAGTGGGAGGGCTCGGGCCCAAAGAGACGTGACTCGCAGGGCGGACAAAATAGCAGACCTGTTTCAACCCCCTTTTTTCTAATTTGGTCCCGGCAGAGGGAATTGGGGTTGCCGTCGAGTACAAAGTATGAGGGAAGAAGGTCGGGAGAAGAAGTAATAAGACGAAGGAGTTGGGACGGGGTGTAGGGATTAAGCTATTATGTAGGGGGAGGTCGAGTGCAGGACAGGAGGGAGACGGAGATGGAGAGGGGAGTGCAGAGAGGGTAAAAAAGGGTCGAGAAGCGGTCGGAGAGTGAGCGAGCCTGGCCCAGGAGAGTCGGCGGGCGGTCCAGTAGCGGTCTGGCGTGGTCCTGTTGTGGTGGTAGTGGGCAGCGTGCAGCGTGCAGCGGTGCGGGCAGGCCCCAAGGGTGGTGGGAGCGGCGACGACTGGCGACAGCGAGAAATAAAAAACAGATTCGAGAAAAAAAATTAAATCAGCAGGTGGGCAGGTTGCGACGGCGGCGGGTGGCCTGTGGTGTAAGTAGCGCAGGATGTGTAGCGTCTTTTGAGGTAAAGTAGGTAGGGCCGACGAGTGGGCGTGGTGGGGCAACGAAAGGAAGATTGGATTGCCCTGCAGGCTGCAGCTTGGTACAGTTGAGAAATGCAGTGTATCCGTACTGCACAGCGCAACTGGAGAGGTGAGGTGTGGTCTGCTGCCTCCACCGGCCTGGGACAGGTCGACTGAGGTACCTGTACTGGCACAGGTACCTGAGGTGAGGTGCCCTGGCGGTGCGCGCACTATTGCTCGCAGCTGATGGGCGGTAGCTCCTGTTGTGGTTGGTGTCCCTCGATGGCGACCCTTTTGCTCGTGGTATGGTGGTGTCCGCTTCTGGAGCTTTTGCGCTTTTGCTAAGAGGGAAGAGAGAAAAAAAAGGCCGCGGGCGGGCGGTGTAAGCGAAGCGTGAGGTGTAGTCCGGGTCTCTTGATGTGGTAAAGGTGACCTTTCCAGGGGATAGACCTGGGGCAGGAACAATAAGGTGTTCCAGGGAGGAGGGCTGAAAAGGCTTGGTCACCGCCAGAGATTCGATATGTCAGCAACCCCACGAGAGGTGGTAGGTTTGTTGGATGGATGAAGTGAAGTCTGCAGACGGGCCTGGAAGAAGTGTGGTCGGTGTGACTATTGTTGCCGTTGGTCGGTCCTTGGTTCGTTCCGTTTGTTCGTCAGATACCAAGTTAGTGTTCTGTAGTTCCTGGAAGGTCGGCGAAGGCGTTGGTAGCAGACCAGTGAGCGCTGCGAGGGCAAAGAAGCGCGGAATCTGCAGGGTGCGATGTCCCGAGGCAAGAAAACGGGACCTGTGTGAAGTTCCCCAGCGGTTGTGTGTTGCGGATGACGACGTGGTTGTGGGAGTTCTCAGAGGTTGGGAAGGATACCAGGTAGTCACTGACGAAAAGACAAGGCGGCTGATTGGTGCCGCACTCCTTGCCGGCCCTCGGTGTGGGGAGATGGCATCCAAATGCGCTTGTAAGCGGTCGTTGCGAGATGCCGCACCCGCGTGTAAGAGACAATAGAGGTATTTTCCACCAGGGTGGTGGCTGGAGGAAGGATGCTACAAGTACAATAGAAAAATCTGCCAAAGTACTGTCGCTGGTATTGTGACCGTCGCTACCTCTTTATCGAGCGTGGCGTATTCGTTTCCCGCTTCGTCGGGGAGCCTCCGTACGAATGGGGGAGTCTGATTGAAGGATTCGAGGCAGTGGTCAGGGGTGCGGGAAAGGGCAGAAAGCCAAGACTGATGGGACTATCTGAAAGGAGAAAAAGGCTGTGATTAGGTACCGCCGCGGACAAAGGTGGAAACGAGCCAGAGTCAACCGAATAGAGGCAGTGTAATTTAACTTGCCAAAGGTAGTCGACATGTACGGATACATGGACAAAACTCAATGTTTGTTTTTCCCTCTGCCCGCCATCAATCGCAACGCAACGCAACGCAACATCCAGTCCCAGAACCACAGTCACCCCCAGCCGCTGGGCGGATACTGAGCGGGAAGCAGGCACCAGATGCAGCAGCAATAACGTAGCTGCTGCTACAGGCCTGAGACGAGTGGACCAGCGTGGGAGGGACAAGAACAATAAGGTTAGGTTAGGTTAGGTTAGGGTAAGAAGAATGAACGGCCGGTTGGGCGAGGTCGCTGGATATTGGACAGCTTTTCGTATAGCTCAACGATACATGATACATGCATTTGGGCCACCCGTGGATGACGGACGAGAAAAGGCGGCAAGAGGAAAACGACCTGCAAGACGCGCAGCGCACCAGCGCAGACTGACTAGTCGAGGCACAGAGACGGGGTGATGGAGTCGCAGGTCCCTCACCTCAATGGCAACAAAGTCCGCCGACTGGCGAGTCGGGAGCCGGAAAGGCATTGGATGGAGACGGGTTGCGCATTTCGGTCTGGGGCAGGCCAGGTACACGCCGGCCTGCACGACCTCTTACCTAACAGAGGTATCCGTCTTTGCCTAGGTTTGATGAACTATTACTCTCGAGATTGTCAGTCTTCCGTACTCGCCATGTAATCAATACCTCCGGCCGACCACTCTGACACACACGATGGAGTCGGTGGCTCGGTCTCAGTGTGTTTACTCCGCGTCTTGAGTACTCAAAACGCAGGGCAACTTACGTAGACTTGTTCCACGGTGATGCCCGCGGCCCATTGTTGAGGTGAGCCCGCGGCCTGCGACAGGTTCTCTGGTGGAGGTAGCGAGTCTTCCGTCCATGACATAAGCAGCAGCATTCGCTGGGCGCGCTGAGCAAGGTAAGCCAAAAACTTGCCAGAATGAAAGGCTGTGGCAGCAGCGGATGTCGTCGGCATGTGGCGATGGTAGTCGTGTCATTACGTAGAATTGCATCCATCATTCCTCTTGCCCTCCTCACCTTGAGCCTGTTTCGGGGAAGCCCCGGGAACGGCAGGCAAGTCAGCCAGCCAGCACGTACATGCAGCCCATCATTTTCCCGTTGTAGTGAAGGAACGTAGCGTGCGTGCCACTTGGCATCACAGGTCGACAGCGTCAAAGGTTGGGGTTTGCGGTTTTGCCGTGCTTGCCCGGGCCTGTCCCGCGCTGCCCTGGGTGCACCTGGCAGGCAAATCGCGGCAGAGGATGGCTGGTACAGCAATGATTAGCGGTGATGAGGTGTCCGGGGTATCGGGGTATCGGGGTATCGGGGTATCGGGGTATCGGGGTATCGGGGCATGTGTCAAAGGATATCAAGCTTCTTCTTCTCGCCAGGATGGTCGGAGGATGGCGTGCGGTTTGATCGATGACATGGACAAATACGTGGTGGTAAAGCAGGCAGGCAGGCAGGGCTGGTGCTCAAGAAAGAGTGGGCTGCGGCATCGAATCGGACAGCCAAGCCTGAATCTGCAAAGAGAAAAGCGGCTTCGCGAACGGCAGTGGGCTGGCTGGCTGCATCCAGGCGCGAGATTTCAGATGCGAGCCGGGCCAACGACCAACGATGGAGGGGCAGCCCGGTGTGCCGCCGGTCGCTGGTGCGTGGTTACTGGTGCGCCGTGCCGTGGCACCCACAGTTCACAGTCCACCATCGCCGCCCTTCAGCGGAAAGTCTTTTGGTTTGAGAAAAAGCCAAGAACAGGGTCTGCAGGCCGCGCAAGGTGCACAAGGGCCTGCCTGCGGACTGTGTGTCTTTTCAGGGCTTGGAAAAGTCTTGGACGACCTCATAGCGTGGCACAGCATACAGCAGACAGCAGCCAACAGGGAGCGTGCGGCCGTTTGCTTTTGGCTTGTGGCAGCTGGACAGGCAGGTGTGGCAGGTAGCTTCTGACAGAGTACAGCCCAGATGAGAGAGACAACACCCTCAGCTCTCTCTCGCGTGTTCCGTGTGTGTTTCGCGGTGCTGCTAACCAGTGGCCACCGAGGGCTGGGATTTGTGGGCGATCTCTGCCGGTCTCTGGTGATTTTTTATCCCTCTCGCGCCCCTCAAGACTCCCGGGCTCATTTCGGGCCATCGGGGTTTTGTGCGAGGTTGAAAATTTGGTCAACGAAAAAAAGCGCGAGGGAAAAGAAAAAAAAAAAAGAAAAAAAGAAAAAAAAGGGAGAGAGGCGAATGACCTCGGGCCAGCAAACGAAAACCGGAGAGAATTGCATGTCAAGGAAGGTAAAGTCCTACCGAGTCTGGCGGGTCTGGGTCTGGGTCTGGCGTGGGTTCTGGGTACGGGTCCAGTTCTGGGACGGAAAGAACTGGGTCGCAACTTTGTAGGGCAGGTACCTCCAAAAACCCCCCAACTGAACTGGCAACTGCATCTGGAGGCCAAATTGTGACTGAGAGGGATGTCTTCTTTCCTGCAGGCGCCCAGTATCGCGGCAAGCGCCGTACTGTCAAGCTGTATTAGCCGCACCTTCCCCCGCACAGTGTTTGCGCAAGGCGATGACGTTTGCAGGTGCCCGTCGAATACTTGCAGGTGCCCGTCGAATACTTGCAGCTGCCCTCGCCGTCGCTGTCGCTGCCGCTGCCGCTGCCGCTGTCGCTGTTGGGGTCGCACCTGCTGTCCAAAATACCAAGCCGGCTTGCGGTACCGAATC